ACTTCTTCTTCTTCTTCTTCTTCTTCTTCTTCTTCTTCTTCTTCTTCTTCTTCTTCTTCTTCTTCTTCTTCTTCTTCTTCTTCTTCTTCTTCTTCTTCTTCTTCTTCTTCTTCTTCTTCTTCTTCTTCTTCTTCGACTACTACTACTACTACTACTACTACTACTACTACTACTTATTATTATTATTATTATTATTATTATTATTATTATTATTATTATTATTATTATTATTATTATTATTATTATTATTATTATTATTATTATTTATAAGTCAAGGACCCACCTAATTCTTTCACTGAGTCCCCAAGCATAAAATTCAGGCGGTAACAGTGATGCCTACCTGGGCAGGTGTTTTTCCGAGTCCCCAGTCAGTTTTTCTGATCTCCGTTCCCCTTTTGCAGTCCATGGCCGAGGTGCTCGCCAAAAAGGAGGAGCTGGCGGATCGCTTGGAGAAAGCCAACGAGGAGGCCATTGCGAGCGCGATCGCCGAGGAGGAGCAGCTGACGAGGGAGATCGAGGCGGAGGAGAACACCGACATCAACCTGGAAACGGACAACGACAGCGACTTCTCTGTGAGTTTTCAGCTGGATGGGGGGAAACTGACATTGATGGAACGGCTCTTTTTTTCGAGCCCAGGTCGGACGCTGGGCTTTTATATACTTCTTGACATTGAAGAATAGCTGGGCCCTCCCTCTGTAATCGCAGAGCCAGGAAAAATATACAAAAGTATTCTGAATTGTGAGGTTTCCTTTTTTTTTTTTTTTTTTTTGGAACTATGTAGAAATTAACTGCTCGTTTCCCAGTTAGAGAATTCATGCGACGCTCTTGAGATTTGCAGGGAGCCGGGAACTTTTGGGAGAAGAACAAGGAGCCTCAGAAACTGGAGATTGAGGACAAACCCTGGTTTGTTTTCAGCGAAAGAGCAGCAGCAGATGGCCCTTTTGCCCAATTCCCTGCCTTTTCAAAAGTAGGGCGTAATTGTGATTAATAAACAAGCCAGAACATAGGTTAAGATCCCCGCTAACAGGTAATCCTCAAACTCAGGACCATTTAACGACAGTTCGAAGTTACAACAGCCTCAGAAAAAGTGACTTAACGACCTGCACTCACACTTAAAACCTTCCCACCAAGTCAAGAGATTGCAATTCACGCATTTGGCAACTAGCCAGCTTTCACGGCCGGTCGCTGCATCCTGCAGTCATGTGATTGCAGGATCTGCCACCTTCTTTTTGCCAATTTCCCACAAAAAAATAATCACCTCTTGGAGGAAACTGGGTTCACTTAACAATTGCACCATTTGCTTCGCAGCGAGGTGATTAGCTTAATCGCAGACATTAAAATTGTCGTAAACTGAGTCTGACTTGACTTAGGACAGAAATCCCAGTCCCGATTGTGGTCACCTGTCACAGCTGTTGTTCTGATGTGCAGAAAGTGGGAAGGAACAAGATGAAGGGGAATTCCTTCTACAGGGGGTCCTCCACGTACAGCCACAATTCAGCCCCAGATTTCTGCTGCTAAGCGAGACATTTGTTAAGCGAGTTTTGCCCCCATTTTACGATCTTTCTCCTCGCAATTGTTGAACCATTGCAGTTGCTAAGTTAGTAGCACAGTCATTAAGCCAATCTGGCTTCCCCATTGACTTTGTTTGTGAGGTTGCAAAAGGGGATCATATGAGCCCAGGACCGTCATAAAAGTGAATCAGTTGCCAAGCATCTGAATTTTGATCACGTGACCACGGGGGGGATGCTGCAATGGTCATAAGTGTGAAAAACAGTCGTAAGTCACTTTTTCCAGTGCCGTTATAACTCTGAGTGGTCACTAAATGAACTGTTATAAGTCGAGGGCCACCTGTACATTGTTAGAGAGCCTCTGAAATTCTCTTTTTGCATTCTGGATTTTCAGGCCAGCCTGGGCAGCATATCATTCTGCGGCATTTCCATGGATTGGAATGACGTCCTGGCGGATTACGAAGGTACAGCCTCTTTTCTCGACCCGAGCTAAGGCCATTCTCGTTAAGAGGACCCATTTCCAGTTCATTGGAGAGCCCTGTGCTCTTCACCACCACCACCCGCCGGGCAATGATGGCCAGCTATCCGGCCCCTGGATCAGCTTCAGCTTCCAAAACTGATCCTCTGCTTTTTCGCAGCTCGTGAATCGTGGCGCCAAAATAATTCCTGGGGCGACATCGTGGAAGAAGAACCCGCTCGCCCACCGGGCCACGGAATCCACATGCACGAGAAACTGTCTTCTCCCTCCCGCAAGAGGTCTTTACTTTTTCAACTTTTTGATTCCATCATTCGGGAAAAACCCTGAATCGGATTCTGCATGAGTAATAATACTGATCATTCAAAGATAGGGAACTTTATGCCAATTCGGGCACATTCAGAATTTCTCGCTAGGAAATTCCAAGCCTGTATTTAGATTAGAAAGCCTTCCCCCCAAAATATCCCAGAAGACAGTGGGAGAGCACTTCTGTATCACTGCCTACAAAAGACCACGGACTATACCTGTAGCCAGCAGAGATGTGTTGTCTCAAGAGTTGGCAGTCCCCGACCATCCTTGATCGAGATTGAAGCTGATCAGGGATTGTCCTGGTTAGTACCAGGTTGGGAAACCATAAGGAAATTGTAGCTTAGACTGAGAAGGTGAAATAGAATCCCAGCATAAGGAAGTGGATAGCCACTTTGGTATTACTGTCAAGAAGAACCACACGGATGCCTGTATGATGTCCCTAGGAGTTGAGCTTGACTTGAAGAAGACCTTTAGATATTGTAAGACCTTCAGATATTTTGGACTGCATATTGATTGAGCTGCTGAGTCTTGGAATNTAGCTTAGACTGAGAAGGTGAAATAGAATCCCAGCATAAGGAAGTGGATAGCCACTTTGGTATTACTGTCAAGAAGAACCACACGGATGCCTGTATGATGTCCCTAGGAGTTGAGCTTGACTTGAAGAAGACCTTTAGATATTGTAAGACCTTCAGATATTTTGGACTGCATATTGATTGAGCTGCTGAGTCTTGGAATCCAAAATGTCTGGAGGGAACTCTAGTCTTCTTGTGTAACAGAAGATTTTCCATGGCCTATGCCTGAACAATCTTAGCAGTGATTCTTATTATCACAATCATGTACAACTACACAGGTACACTATATTGTGCCCTGTAAATGAAGATTGAGCGGGGAATCTTCTAAATGAGACATTGATGTCTGTGAAACTCTCCAAGCTCTAACTCTGTTTTTAAACCTCTAATGCAGTGATGGCGAACCTTTTAGACACTGAGTGCCCAAAAACTGCCCCACCCCTGCACCGCCCCACCCCTGCTCCATCCCTGCCCCGCCCCCACCCACCCACAGGGCCACCCGCCACCTCCACAGCCCGCCGCAGATCGCCATGGCGGCCCAGTAGCGCCATGGCAGCCATGCCCTCCACCCATGCCCCGCAGCATCATCTCTTTGCGACGGGGCGCAAGGGCGGAGTCTTGTCCCCACTGCCCAGCTGCCATGTCCTTGGCTGCGCTACTCCAGGCAGGCCGTGCCTGGGGGCGACTCTCCTCCGGGGCGGCTGCTGGTGTGGAGGGGGCCATGGGGGGAGGCGGGGCTGGGGCAACAGCACGTGTGCCCACAGAGAGGGCTCCGAGTGCCGCCTCTGGCACTCGTGCCATACGTTCGCCACCACTGCTCTAATGTTTATACAGCGTTCTGTAGCTTTCAGCTGCTTCTGCGTTGTTCTTCCGCTGCTCAGTTTTCCGTGTCTTTTCTTTCCAAGGACAATTGCAGAATCGAAGAAGAAGCACGAAGAGAAGCAGAAGAAGGCTCAGCAGCTGAGAGAGAAGCTCCGCGAGGAGAAAACTCTAAAGCTTCAGAAATTAATGGAAAGGGTAAATTTTGCTAGGGCTCCTTTTTTTAATGTCCCAATCCTGAAACCAGGACCCAAAGTTGGGATCATAATACCGTATCGTATTACGATCGCTACGACCACGAACAATATTAGTGGCACAGTGAAAGAAACCACAACGGTTGGGGGCTTGTTTGACTCTTCATTCTCCTCTGCAGGAAAAAGATGTGAAAAAATGGAAAGAAGAATTGTTGGATCAGAGACGAAGGATGATGGAGGAAAAATTGCTCCACGCAGAGTTTAAACGTGAAGTGCAGTTGCAAGCGATTGTCAAAAAAGCCCAAGAGGAAGAAGCTAAGGTAAGATCACTCAGATCAGACTCTTGTTGCATTTTATGGATATGATCCTAATTACAAGTTAGTCCAGAACCTGGCAATAGAAATCATAATATATCTTTGGTCCAAATTTGTGTACCCCCGGTCTACTAAAATTGCATTAGGTGTCTTCCTTTCAGTCCAGTCACTAGGGTACATTCTCTATTTCAGAATTGCAATAATACAGTGGTCCTCAGTCTGAAGGCCTGTTTGTCTTTTTTGAAGCTATTTGTCTTCAAAGTTACCTCAAAACAGTGAGATGGAACCATCAAGGTCCTTCTTCTGAAGCTTTCAAGAAGACCTTGAAGGCCAAGTGTGGTTTTCAGTTGCTGGATGTTGACGCCTGACTTTCCGCCGGTGAACTGTTTCCACCACAGGCACAGTTCTCACTGTGTCGCGTTTTATCGCTAGGTTCAGTTCCTTGAAGACAACCTGCACATTATTTTCAAGTGAAATAAACTGAGATAAGCGCAGCCACTTAGATTTGACGGAAAAGTTGTTAGAGAGATGAACTTTTGTTCCGAAGTGCTGTTTGCTTGGTTTGGCATTTTAACTCAGAACTCCCTTTTTTTTTTTTATGTGCTGTCCTGTGTCAGTTTGATAATATGTAGGCAGAGCCATCCTATAAATTTGATTTCCACTACGGTGATGTAGAGCAGGGGTCTGCAACCTTAACAACTTTAAGACTTGTGGACTTCAGCTCCCAGAATTCCTCAGCCAGCATAGCTGGCTGAGGAATTCTGGGAGCTGAAGTCCACAAGTCTTAAAGTTGTCAAGGTTGCAGACCCCTGATGTAGGGAGTTGATTTGTAGGCAAGATTGTTGTACTACGGTGAGGGCTGCTTTTCATTTTCACGGTGCATGGAGAATTTCAAGGGTCTCTGCGTGTGTACACACCGGATGCTATTTTTGAAGAGCCATGTTTTTAATGCTTTGCAAGCCCTTAAGACAGCACAGTTGGCTAAGTCCATTAGCTGCTGGCTGCTTCTGCCCTTCCCTTAGAGCTGCTGTCATGTCTTTTACCTGCGGGCCCTGGTCTCCTTAATCCCGGGTGACCCACGGCAATCAGATTAACAACCCAACTTGTCATAATTCCCACTTTAGCAGATGTGCTAAAGCACTGCAATCGGTTCAGCAGGGCGAGATCCCCAGCCCTTTTGCACCCCAAGATCACGGCTAATTGGGTCAGAGCTACTGGTGGGGAGGAGGGGGGGCAAAGAGAAAGAAGGCTGGGACTTTCGCAGCTGTTCCTCTTTTCCTTGCCCCCCCCCTCCCACCGCCACCCGCTCAGTGAACTGCAAAAATTCACTCTGCAAATGTGTTCCAAGCGGAAAGTTGGACTCGTCTGGGGATGTTTGACACGGCTGTAAATGGTGAGAGGAGAAGCACTAAAATCATAGTGTCAAAAGAGGCCGTTTAGCCTCTGCATCTAATATTCAACTCAGGACAGAAGTATATCGTGTCTTTCTTTGGATTAGGGAGCAAGAGCTGAGTAAGAAAGATAAACGGGGAGTGGAATATGGTACAACTGAAGAGACTTTTTAAAGAGGGAGAGAGAGTAGACCGTTGCTTTGGGATGGTCTTTCTCCGTCCCAGGCTTAGTGAATTCATTCTCAAGAGGGAGGATCCTCAGAAATCCAGTTAGGGCACCTTTTGCACAAACAGGAAGCACATTGCACAAATCACTTTGATGTGATGATGTGGTGGAGGACTTGAACACACTTCCCTGCTTGGAGACCGACCAGGGGGGTCTGTCCTGGGGCTCCAGATTCAGAGATCTTTCCATACATTCCCATATCAGTTTTCTCTGATGTTACCTAGTTGGGTAATGAAACGTCTGCAAGAAAACAGCCACGTTCAGAGAGCATCAAAGAACCCCACAAATCTTTCCTTCGCTTAGGACAGCGTTTCCCAACCTTGGCAACTTTAAGATGGGTGGACTTCAACTCCCAGAATTCCCCAGCCGGTCACACTTAAGTTCACCAAATTAGTCCATTTCTCACAACCGATGGATGTATAAATGTCTAAAGTGTTTGGTGTTTTATTTTGCACCGATCCGATTTTTCATCGGGGTTCCCATTCCATCTTTGGCAGGTGAATGAAATTGCATTCATAAACACCTTGGAAGCCCAGAATAAGCGCCACGATGTTTTGTCCAAGCTGAAAGAATACGAGCAAAGACTGAATGAATTGCAGGAAGAGCGCCAACGAAGGCAGGAAGAGAAGCAAGCCCGCGATGAAGCTGTCCAGGTACCACTGAACGTCACAAAGGCTAGAAGCCAGTAACAAAGAAGAGAGGCGATTTTAATGGTTTTATTTCTTTGCCTTACTGGTGTCCTTCTTTGGAACACTATTGGGGTAGCCTGTCTTCCCCTCCCCTCCCTTCTCTTCCTTTTCCTTCACTTTCTTGTTTTCTCCTGACTCTAAAGTGCTACTGAGCTCTGAATCATATAGAAATAGCAGAAAAGAGATTTGCTCTTAAGTGTCCATGCCCAAGAATGAGTTAGCCTGCATGGAACTAACTCAACATGGTGATATTATCTGTCTGTCTGTCTGTCTATCTGTCTGTCTGTCTACCTACTATCTACAGTACCTATCTATCATCTGTCTGTCCATTCATCCATTCATTGCCTATCTATATCCATCAATTTTCTAGCTATCTCCATCCATCCACCCACCCATCCATCCATTATCTAGCTATCCATCCATCCAGTCTATCTATATCCATCATTTTTCTAGCTATCTCCACCCATCCATCTATTATCCATCCATCCATCCATTGTCTATCTATATCAGTGGTGGCGAACCTATGGCACGCGTGCCAGAGGTGGCACTCAGAGCCCTCTCTGTGGGCACGCACACTGCAGCCAGTAGCAACTCGTGCAGGTCCATTAGGCTGCCACCGCCCGAAGCAGCAGCCCCGCCCAGCACAAAGCAGGCAAAATGGCCGGCTAGCAAGCTCGAGTAAAGATGTTACAGTATCGAGGTGGCCACGCCTACCTGGCCACACCCACCCAGTCTGCTGTGACCACTCTGGCCACGCCCACCCAGTGGGCCACACACCCTGCCCTCCCTGAGGGAACCACAATGCTGATGCGGCCTTGGCACTTTGCAATAAATAAGTGGGTTTTGGGTTGCGGTTTGGGCACTCGGTCTCTAAAAGGTTNCCATCCATCCATCCATCCATCCATCCATCCATTGTCTATCTATATCCATCCATTATCTACCCATCCATCCATCCATCCATCCATCCATCCAGTCATCCAGTCTATCTATATCCATCCACTTTCTAGCTATCTCCATCCATCCATCCATCCATCTATCATCTATCCATCCATCCATCCATCCATCCATCCATTGTCTATCTATATCCATCCATTATCTACCCATCCATCCATCCAGTCATCCAGTCTATCTATATCCATCCACTTTCTAGCTATCTCCATCCATCCATCCATTGTCTATCTATATCCATCCATTATCCATCCATCCATCCATCCAGTCTATCTATATCCATCCATTTTGTAGCTATCTCCATCCATCCATCCCAAACCTTCTGTCCTTTCTATCATTGTGCAAACCATTTAGCATTTCCATATTTAACAAGGGAATTGTTTGCTCCCTAGGAACGGAAGAGAGCTTTGGAAGCGGAGCGTCAGGCACGGGTGGAAGAGTTGCTAACGAAGAGGAAAGAACAAGAAGCTCGGATTGAGCAGCAGAGGCAGGAGAAGGAGAAAGCCCGGGAAGATGCCGCTCGGGAACGGGCCAGGTAGCCGTTGTGAACCACTTCCAGTTTTTATTTAATTTTAACCCAAGAGTTTCGGTCAGTGTTTTTCAACCTCGCCAACTTTAAGATGCATGGACTTCAATTCCCGGAAGCTGAGGAATTCTGGGAGTCGAAGTCCACCCATCTTAAACTTGCCACGATTGAGAAATGTTTGCAAACGGAATGTACAAATGCTACATTCATTTAATGAGTTTTACCCTAGAAAATAGAGACACCCATTTGGAGTATCTTGGATCTACTGTATGAATGGAGGGATTTTGCTATTTCTTGAAAAGGCGTGGATCCAATCGCGTGCCTTAATTTTTCAACGTCTCTGCTCTTTGCATAGAGATCGGGAAGAGAGATTAGCTGCTCTCACTGCAGCCCAGCAAGAAGCCATGGAGGAGCTCCAGAAGAAGATCCAGTTGAAGGTATGGGCTAGAAATACATCTCCAGAAAGGCATAGACCAGTAGTTCTCAACCTGTGGTCCGCGGACTCCTAGGGAGGGTGCAGTGTCATCACAAGGGGTCTGCAAGGGCTTGAAGAAAAGCTATGATTTAAACCTTGAGTTGTCTTGGGGGTCCGTGGCCACAAAAGGTAGCTAAAGAGGGTCCTTAGTGAAGTAAAGGTTGAGAACCAGCAGCCTAGAAATCTTAATCTTTCTCTTTTGATCACACGCAGCACGATGAGAGCATCCGGAGGCACATGGAGCAGATAGAACAGAGGAAAGAAAAAGCGGCCGAATTGAGCAGCGGGAGACACGCCAACACAGACTATGCGCCCAAACTCACACCCTACGAGCGCAAGAAGCAGTGTTCACTCTGTAACGTTTTGGTAGGACTCTCCTCTTACTAGCCTCTTGAGATAAGAGTGTGTCTCTGCCATTCGAGACCGCCTTAGCTGTGCCCGGAGATTGCCTTTGAGATGAGGATCCCTAGAGGGAAGAGTAGCTCAGCCCTGCCATTCCTTCCTTGCAGAGACAAGGCATTTTTGCAGAGGAGAAGAAACTTCTCACTGCTTTTCCCTGAGCCAGATGTTGGGGCATCCTTTCCCAGTTTGCACCGTCCAGATGTGTCAGGTCTTGAGCTTTGCTAATTGGGCTGGGTTGACTGGATATCTATGGAGATTCTCCATCAACCATGGTTTTCCCAAATGCAAGTGGACTTTCTTGTGTTTTTTTTCTTTTGAAAACATTTCACTTCTCATCCAAGAAGCTTCCTCCGGTCTGAAGGGTGCAAATTGGGAAGGGATGCTTCAACATCTGGCCTGGAGGAAAGACAGTGGAGAATCATCTCCTCTTTGCCAGCCTGCTCCATTGATCTTGTCCCCTGTAACAGCTGAACTAGCCAGGATATGTTGGGTGGGCTTTGCCAGGTTTTGGCACAAATGAACTGAGCAAATGTCGCACCCTTTCCAGATTTCCTCGGAGGTGTATCTCTTTAGCCACATTAAGGGGAAAAAGCATCAACACGCCGTGAGGGAGAACAGCAGCATCCAAGGCCGGGAACTTTCCGATGAAGAAGTGGTAAGTCTTTTCTCCTTTCCCACCCCAATGTTATTATCCAACAGGAAATGGCTGTTAGGTTGGCAGAGCCTTGATCCAATTGCTGAAGAATCTGAGGGATTTATAATCCAGCACAGTGTAGAAGGCAGCAGATTAGATTTGAATTAGATTAATTTGAATTTGAATTAGATTCATTTGAATCCTCCAATTGATGTATGTTGTTATATTAAGTCTCAAGCTCTGACCCAGTGTTTCTCAACCTGGACAACTTTAAGATGTGTGGACTTCAACTCCCAGAATTCCCCAGCCAGCAATTCTCCCAGAATTGTGGGAGTTGAAGTCCACACATCTTAAAGTTGTCCAGGTTGAGAAACACTGAGTCAGAGCTTGAGACTTAATATAACAACATACATTAATTGGAGGATTTGGAGATATAAGTCTAGAGGGCCAGCCAGAAGATTAGAAGCATTTGCGGGAGACAACTCCACTGAGACTACCTTGTCCTACTCAGAGCAAGAAGATGGAGAGATACCAGTTTCTGGCTGCAGTGGGACTTAAACTGGTCAGAAAAACTGGAGCTGACTTTTGTGAACTTTTTGGAAATGTGGCTTTTTAGAGGATGCTACTACACTCGGCTTTGCTGTTCTTTCTTTGGGATTGGTGTGGCGGATTGTATCAACGTCCTGGTGATTCATTCATCAATGGGTGTTTTGGTCAATGGGTCTTTTGACGTGATCCATTGAGGCTTAGGTCAGGTGTAGGCAACCTTGGCTCTTTTATGACTTGTGGACTTCAACTCCCAGAATTCCTGAGCCAGCTATGCTGGCTCAGGAATTCTGGGAGTTGAAGTTCACGAGTCATAAAAGAGCCAAGGTTGCCTACCCCTGGCTTAGGTATTCCTAAGGAAGTCCTGAAAGAAACTTTCTTTTATGGACCAACTCTTTTTCTCCAGCCCTGTGTTCAAGATCCCTCTTTCTTTGCCGGACATATTTAACAGAAACATGTCTTTCTTCAACTCTCCTAAGAGCTCAGTGCCTTTCTGAACGTGCCTCATTTTGCTTGGAGTCTGGAAGTACTCCATGGTTTGTTAATTTGGTTTAATCACATATGTCAGCCAAGTATTATGATAAATTTTAATATAATTTGCTCTTTCTTGCTATGTACAGCTCTGGGCAAAATTTATATCCCTCTAGAACAGCAACATTTATGCTTTGTGTACTTAGGAGTACAATTTCAAAATACAGGAATAAATAATGTGGCCGAGTCAGCTGAGTTTTACTTCTCTCTGTTTCCCATTTTATTTTTAATCAATGAAGGCACCTCTAGGTGAATGCACTATTCCTACTTAAAGTTATTGCTTTTCACCTCTGATGCCTTCATATTAAATGACCCTTCTTCTCTGATGTATAAGATTTTTATTTATACTACCTCTGACCTAATGAAATTTCACCTTTAGCCCCCTGCACTTGACACTTCAGATAACATACACTTGATCTTTGACACATTTTTGTTTTAAGCCCAGAATGGGTAAGAGCTGCTTGCCACACAGGCGAAATAACTCCTTTGGAGAGGTCAATTCCAGACAGGGTTTCCATTCTGAACCACAAAACTTGTCTTGATCATTCGGAAAATCCTATTGACAAAGATCACAGTGTAGAATCCAAATCCGTGGGGGTGGGGGCTGATTATTATTTAAGATTTAATCTTCAGTTCTATTCACAGTCTGGGACTGGTTAAAAACTTAACAGTTCAAGTCCTAACCAAGGACCTAAGAGCTGTTAAGGTAACGTCTGAGTTCCGAGGAGTAACGTGGTTTTCCGCAAAGAATATTCAGGTCTAATAAGTTCAAAATTTCCATGCCTCTATTGCGTATTGCTCCCAAGGGCTCCTGTTACTATTGGTACAACCACTGATTTCTTCTTCTTCTTCTTCATCATCATCATCATCATCATCTATTATTATTATTATTATTATTATTATTATTATTATTTCTTCCACTATTATTATTATCATCATCACCATCATCATCTTCAATTCAATTCACAGTCTGGGACTGGTAAAAACCTAACAGTTTAAATCCTAACCAAGGATCTAAGAGCTGTTAAGGTAATGTCTGAGTATATAGCCAGTTCTGAGTAAGGTGGGGTTTGTTTTTTTTCAAAGTCAGAATATTCAGGTCTAGTAAGTTTAACATTTCCATGTTTCTAGACAGCCCTTTGGGTATTGCTGCAAGGACTCCTATTACTGTTGGTACAAACATTGATTTCTTCCTCCACAATCGCTCAACTTCAATTTGCAAATCACGCTATTTTGTTATTTTTTCTAGCTATTATTATTATTATTATTATTTCTGAAAGGTCAAATTCTGATCATTTCCTAGATTAAAACGAACACATAGATTTAGAGGCAGTCCTTCATTTACAACAGCTTGCTTCGCTTGGTGACTGTTCAAAGTTAAAACGGTACTGAAGAAAGGGATATCGTTTTTCACTCTTAGTATGCCCGTGATCACGTGATCAAAATTCAGACGCTTAGCAACTGGTTCACATTTACGACGGTCGCAGTGTCTTGGGGTCACGTGATCCCCTTTTGCGACCTTCTGTCGAGCAAAGTCAATGGGGAAGCCAAATTCGCTTAACAGCCAGGTTACTAAGTGATTCACTTAACAGCTGTGGCAAGAAAGGTCATAAAATGGGACAAAACTCACTTCCCAAATTCCTCAACCACATACATTTTGGGCCCCATTGTGGTCGTAAGTTGAGGACCACCTGTAATCCCGCATTCCTTTTTTTGCTAGTTGGGGAAAAAAAATAGACAGGGATCGGTTCCACCCAAGATTAATGCAAAGTGACAGCTTTAGGAACTGGAGAAGCGCTTGGCTGATGGGTACCGAGCATCGCTGGCCATAAGCCAGCGGCAGCTTGCTGGATGATGGAGGGGCTGTCCACTTAAAGCCAGCACGGCAAACGGCCAAACAATGGCCTTACAACTGTTAGCAGAATAGGGATTGGAGATGGGAGACTTTTCTGGAGCTTCTTCCATTCCTCTCTGGCGCCTAATTCAGGATGTTGGTATTCAGATGTAGAATGGGGGTGTATTTGAGGACACACCCCCTCTCTGCTTGGCTTGGCTGGTTGATAAAGCTTAGCTTAGTGGAGGGGAATTGAATCACCCTTGATGTGCACATTAGAATCTAAGCTTTGATTGCAATAGTACTTAGACTTATATACTGCTTCACATTGCTTTTTCAGCCCTCTCTAAGCGGTTTACAGAGTCAGCATATTTCCCCCCAACAATCTGGGTCTTCATTTTACCAACCTCAGATGGAAGGCTGAGTCAACCTTGAGCTGGTCAGGATCAAACTCCAGACTGTGGGCAAAGTCAGCCTGCAATGCTGCATTTAACCACTGGGAAGGAAGAGAGGGAGGGAAGGGAAGGGAAGGGAAGGGAAGGAAGGAAGGAAGGAAGGAAGGAAGGAAGGAAGGAAGGAAGGAAGGAAGGAAGGAAGGAAGGAAGGAAGGAAAATAACAGTAGCCCTTAGACTTATATACTTTTACAGCCCTCTCTAAGCGGTTTACAGAGTCAGCATTTTTGCCCCCAACAATCTGGATCCTCATTTTATCCACCTCGGAAGGATGGAAGGCGGAGTCAACCTTAAGCTGGTCAGGATCGAACTCCTGGCTGTGGGCAGAGTTTGCCTACAGTCCTAAATCATCTTTTTCAGTGCCATTGTAACTTCGAATAAACCGTTGTAAGTCGAGGATTACCTGTACTATATCCACGGAGAATACTAAATGCTGCTACCATCTGGACCACATTCGATTTTGTGAACTGCTCGGAAGCTAATGCCGACTCCGTTGCTTCCCTTGGGCAATTTAAAGGGACAAACACCATATGAACAAAAATATATTCTGACACCGACTAGTTTTTAACACCCCATGGCTGCTTAATAGTAGGCTGCTCCTTTTTAGAGTGCAGAAACCGAAGCAAGAGTGTGGGGTGCCATCTTTTCTGTGTTCCCCTTCTTCTAGGAACACCTGTCCTTAAAGAAGTACATCGTGGATATTGTGGTAGAAAGCGCGGCTCCCGCCGAGCCCGTAAAAGACGGAGAAGACAGGCAGAGGACAAAAAAGAAAGCCAAGAAGCTGAAGGCGCGGATGAACTCAAGGTATCAGCTTTGGAAACACACATACACAAACACACACATATATACATATATAGAAGTGAGGAGAACCTGTGGCCTAGAGGTTAATACAGCTGCCTAACATGCAAGCTGCCCAGGTTCGAATCTCAGAAGGATATGGCTAGCTGATGAGAGACAAATAGCTTGAAATAGCTATACTAGTCTCCCTTTAACTCTTTGTCAGCAAAATCTAAATTTACATATACATATATATAAAAAAATGTATATGTGTCTTTTTGTGTACAGACACACACACATACACACACAGTCTTTTGCATGAAAAGGCTTACATTTATTTATTTTTGCCCTTCAGAAAAGCTGCTGTAAAACTCTGAGAAAAAAAAATGCAAAAAACCTTTTGAAGTTATTTGCTCTAGGAACATCTTGAAAATAGCACTGATGAGTCTAATTTACGGCCACTTTCTCTGATTGAGGAAGAAAACGGCATATCGATCCAGCCCTGCCTTTCACCTGTTAAGAGCTTTCTTCCTAATTGGACGCCAGAGCCCTGCCAAAACTCTGCCCTCTCCCAGAGCACAAGAGCAGGTTTAAGTAGGTCTAAACCGGGCCTATTTTTCTTCCCGGCTATTGATTTTTAAAATGAAGTATCAAAGAAAATCAATAGTAATCAAGAAATAGAAGCTCGTCGGCCGGAGTGTCAAATCCCCAGGCTGGGTTTAATCAATTTTGTTGCCTGCCACGACGAAGAAAGTTAGAAATATCTTAAAAGGGAAAGTGAGTTGTCAGACCTGCCATTTGTCAATGACTAAAAAAAAATGGGGCAGTCGTGGATTGTCATAGTTTCAGAGTTTGAAGGATCCCAAAGCAGAACATCCATGCTTCAGCCTAGACTTTACACCAGAGGTCCCCAACATTTGGGGCACCAGGGACCGGTTCCGTGGAGAGAGGTTTTTCCGTGGACCGGAGGGTGCGTGGTTTTGTGTGCTGCCTGCATCCCATGGAGGGAGCTTTGCTTGTTTGTGCGGACCGGTTGCTGGCATGCCACGGCCTGGTACCGGTCCACGGACCGGGGGTTGTGGACCCCTGCTTTAAACGGTTTCCTAGATTCCTTCCACTTATTCGAAATCCAGACTCAGCGCTAAAATACCGGCATGTGAAACTAGAGTCCTGTTGAATCCGCCTTTTGCTTTTTTGGGGTGGGATGTTTTTTTTTTAGTTGAAGTTTATTCTACAGGTAGTCCTCAACTTACAACAATTGGTTTAGCGACCGTGCAAAGTGACGACGACGCTGAAAAAAGTGGCTTATGACCGTTTTTCACACTTACAACCGTTGTGGCATCCCCATGGTCACGTGATCAAAATTCTGACGCTTGGCAACTGACTCGCATTTATGACGGTTGCAGGGTCCCGGGGGTCACGCGATCCCCTTTTGTGACCTTCTGATAAGCAAAGTCAACGGGGAAGCCAGGTTCATTTCACAACTGTGCTACTAATTTAACAACTGCAGTGATTCAATTAACAACTGTGGCAAGAAAGCTCGTAAAAGGGGGCCAAACTCACTTAACAACTGTCTCACCTAGTGGTCGTGAGTACCGGTATATTACTACCTGAAATATAAAATACAAATAGAAACAAAGATAAAAGGGGAATTAGAGGAGGAAGAAGAAGTGGAGTGCGAAGTAAAAAGGAAAGGGGAAAAAGCAGAGACTTCCAACCATTTTCAGCGCAGTCAAATACAAAATACATTTACAACGTCAGCTTTTTATTTCACACATTTAGTAAGTGCTAGCCATTTCTATAATAAACCGAATCTGAACCTCAAAACCCAATCAATCAATCAATCAGTCAATTTCATTGCGGTCACATGCCATCATTGCAAATAAAAGCATTAAAACAATAATAATAGTAAAAAATAAAAATAGAAGACAAGACAGAAAAATATATTGCAATTGGTGCTGGATTATTGACGGGCAATTAAGGTTTGCCTAATTTTGCATACAGCATAACAGAATTTGGCCACATTTTTCAGTGCAGTCAAACTGAAAATGCAGTTATAACCTCAACTTTTTACTTTACATATTTAGCAAGTAATAGCCATTTCTATAATAAACATAGATTAATCATTAAAACCTAAAATCAAAGTTTCCTTTTTCTTTGTTTTGTTTCACACATAAAGTCCAAAAGCTGTTTCTAAGTAGAAGCAAAACCGGATGCATTCTTTTCTTTAATTAAAACAGTTATTTTTGTCATATCTGCCAGCTCTATCAGTTTTTCCATCCGTTCTTCCATTGTGGGAATTAACATATTTTTCCATTTTTGCACGTACAGAATTCTCGCCGCAGTCAACGTATATAATAACCGAGTTCCAGTTTTTTTCCCCCAAGATCTTTCTCTGGTGCTTTTGTGGAGTTTAGCCCTTTTCATTGTACAGCTGTGTATCGAGGTAGCAGATGTTCCCCCTTTTTGAATGGCGTCTTTACGACATGGACTATTTTGCGTTCAGATTTATTTTCCAGATAGTTTCATGTATTGAGTTGAGTTTTTTTTTTTTCCTCTCCAGCATACTGAACTTGATAAAGCTTTGTTTACCACATTCAGTAGGACTTTGTAATATAAAAGGAAGTGATTCATAGCATAACCCATTTTTTCCCATCCTCAAGTTCTTAACAAATATTGGATTTCAAGTCTTACTACCTCAGGAGAGTGAAGCAGGAGCATCCGGGTGGTTTAAAAAAAAAGTGTCCAAAACTTAAAAATGCTTGTGCCTTTTAATAAAATGTGTTAGCTGGAAACTATGCTAACAACTTCTTCTGGTTTTATGCACTGGAAGTTACACCGCCTTCCTCCTACAATGTCTGTCACTCAGTGTGATGGGTGAATCAGAACGCTGTTATCAAGAAGGGTATGGAAAACATAAGCCAGCGAGAAAATATCCCCAGGGCACGATGTATTCAGGGAGATAAATATTTGCCAAACACAGAGAAGTGAGCTTCTTGCTGTCTTGAGACAAACTTGAAATTCAACTTTCCTGCTTGTTTGGCTGAGCCCCTCGTGTCTGCTTCAGAATTCTTCCTTTCTCCTCTTAGGAAAAGCCCCTGTCTTTTTATCCCAGCCTTAAAAGCTTTTCGTATCCGGAGCGTCTCCCTGCTTAGCCGCCCACGTCAGTCTGTCTGTCTAGCACACCCCATCCATTTAGAGCAGGGGTAGGCCACCTTGGCTCTTTTATGACTCGTGGACTCCAACTCCCAGAATTCCTGAGCCAGCCATGCTGAGGGGAAAGGGAGAGGTTTCCAAGCTGAGCCACGCTGGCTCAGGAATTCTGGGAGTTGAAGTCCACCAGTCATAAAAGAGCCAAGGTTGCCTACCCCTGGGCTAAACAGTCACTTGTCTGAGAAGGTATAGGTCAGGGGTAGGCAACCTTGGCTCTTTTATGACTGGTGGACTTCAACTCCCAGAATTCCTGAGCCAGCCATGCTGAGGGGAAAGAGAGAGGTTTCCAAGCTGAGCCATGCTGGCTCAGGAATTCTGGGAGTTGAAGTCCACCAGTCATAAAAGAGCCAAGGTTACCTACCCCTGGTTTAGGGACACTTAACTGACATTGGAAATGAGTACGTAAGAGGGGCAATTCGCCGTTCTTTCCCCCCCCCCCCACACCTCCTTCTACAACATCAAAGGAAGAGGGCCATCAAACCTGGATAGTTCTTGATTCACGGATTAAAAGCCTTACCTACAACTCCTCAGAGTTGGGCCAAGAAACCTTACAACTTTTGTTTGAAAGGGCTGTTTACCAAGTCAGATGGTCCTCAACTTACCACTACAAATTGAGCCCCAGATTTCTGTTGATAAGCGAGACGGTTGTTCAGCAAATTTTGCCCTATTTCTTGCCAACGTTGTTAAAGGAAACCCTGCAGTGGTTAAGTTAGGAACACGGTCGTTAAGTGAACCTGGCTTCCCCCATTGACTTTGCTTGACAGAAGGCCGCAAAAGGGGATCACATGACCCCCCCCTGGGACCCTGCGACCGTCATAAATATGAACCGAGTTGCCCAGCGTCTGAATTTCGATCATGTGACCGTGGGCGTGCTGAATGGCCATAAGGGTGAAAAACGGTCCTGAGTCACTTTTCTCAGTGCCTTTGTAACTTCGAACAGTCACTAAATGAACCGTTGTAAGTCGAGAGCTATCTGTATTGGAGCCAACAGGTAATTCTGGTGAACCAATATGCTTTTGCCAGGAAATCTTAGATCTCCAGTAGCTGATGGCCAACCTCCATTTAAGCCAGGGCTGTCCAACTTTGGCAACGTGAAGGCCTTTGGACTTCAACTCCCAGAATTCCTCAGCCAGCCTGAATTATTATTATTATTAATAATAATAATAATAATAATAATAATAATAATAATAATAATAATAATAATAATAATAAAGTTGGAAGGGACCTTGGAGGTCATCTAGTCCAACCCCCTGCTCAGGCAGGAAACCCTATGCCATTTCAGAAAAATGGCTGTCCAGTCTCTTTTTTAAAACTTCCAGTGTTGGAGCATTCACAGCTTCTAGAGGCAGGTTGTTCCACTGGTTAATTGTTCTAACTGTCAGGAAGTTTCTCCTTAGTTCTAGGTTGCTTCTCTCCTTGATTAGTTTCCATCCATTGCTTCTTGTCCTGCCTTCAGGCGCTTTGGAGCATAGCTTGACTCCCTCTTCTTTGGGGCAGCCCCTGAGATGTTGCAACACTGCTATCATACCCCCCCCTCGTCCTTCTCTTCATTAAACTAGACATACCCAATTCCAGCATACCGTTCCTTATATGTTTTAGCCTCCAGTCCTCTAATCATCTTTGTTGCTCTTCTCTGCACTCTTTCTAGAGTCTCAGCATCTTTTTTACATCGTGGTGACCAAAACTGGATGCTGTATTCCAAGTGTGGCCTTACCAAGGCCTTGTAAAGTGGTATTAACACATCACGTGATCTTGATTCTATTCCTCCATCAATGCAGCCTAGCATTGTGTTGGCTTTTTTGGCAGCTGCAGCACACTTTTGCTAGGCCTGTTAAGGGCTATTTTTCAAGTTGCTGATGGGCTGGTGTGTTTTATACCCATTTTGGCTCAAACAAAATTAAGTGCCATCCAAGGAAGAAATTGCCCCTTTCTCAGACAATGTGGCAAGTTGCCAAGATAAACCCATTTTTTCCCCCCCATTTGGTTCATGCTCCTAATTCTGGTTTACATTTTCCCAAAGTGAATCAGCCATTCATAGATTGCTTTTCTGTTCGCGGGAAACTTGTATGGTTGCATCATTGGCTGTTACAAACTGTTAATGAGATGCAAATTGTTCACTTGGGAGTTTTTTAAAGCATTTTTTTTTCTCACAATGAGCGAATTGCCATCTGGTATTAGAGTTTAAATCCAGTACTGTAATTTACAGTTGTTTATGAATTGATAAATTCGTTAGTCTCTAGAGTGCCCTAAGCTTGTTGTTTTCATATTTAAAATGTTTTAAATCTCTCCAGTAGTACGTATGACCGCTGGGCTTGCTGCAGCTTATAAAATCTTCAAACATTTTGCCATGTGATGAATGAAACTGAAGCAGGATTGGGAGTAGCAAACATGGTTTGGCAGGATAGAATTACTTTCAAATTAACCAAGGTTTCAAAGGAGCCCATTAATTTCTACTCCCTCTTTAATGTGAAAAAGAAGAATATAAAAATGGTAAATTGAACAAAAGACTCAGCACAGAATATGCTTTATATGCACCCTACCATAACTGATGTTTTCCACTGTTTCTTTTCATTTTAGGGCAAAGGAGTACGAAAACGGAATGGAATCAAAAAATGCCTCTTATGAGTCTCCGTACAAAGCAAAGTAAGTCCTTCATCCGGATGGGAGCCTTGTCCATCAGAACAGAATTACCTTGTGTGTAAGATAGCCTGTCCCATTCTGGTGCCTTTAACTTTTGAGGCCTGCAGCTCCTAGAATTGTAGAAATGAACCATTTTGATGAATTGGTGACAGAATTGTGAGAGGCTCCATTTAAAAGCTATATAGAACATAGATTCATAGGAATGGAAGGAGCCTTGGAGGTCTTCTAGTCTAACCCAAGGCAGGAGACCCTCTACCATTTCAAACAAATGGTTGTCCAATCTCTTCTTTAAAAATCTTCACAACTTCAGGAGGCAAGTTGTTCCACTGATTAATTGTTCTCACTGTCGGGAAATTTCTCTGTGAGTCAGATCTCTCTTTGATAGGTTTCCATCCATCGCTTCTT